CAGTATAAAAATGTTTCTCATTTTATATCTACTAAGCATCAAACCCCTAAGGAGTACACAGAAGTTCTGTTGTCTATCATTTCAAATGTCCAGGCTGCAATAGTGATTATATTGGTAAGACAGATAGGTGCTTAATAACTAGACTTAAAGAACATTCTTCACGATCTGATAGTGTTATATTGATCATGTTAAAAACTGTGAGGCATTCCAATATGTTTTAGGATTACAGGGTATACTTGAAAATGATAATGTCGTCTGTAATGTAAGTAATAAATTAGGTTTAGTATTTTCTAGTACTAACATTATTGGTCTATCCTATTGTTTAAAGAAGCGTTCGCTATACGTAGACTACACCCTTTGCTTAACAATGGGCTCAGAGCTTCAAAAGAGCTTTCTTTGTTTTTGTAGGTAGCTTTGATCATTAGAGTAAGAATGCTTTGATCTTTTGTTTAAATCACTGCTATGTCACCTACTAGAGGTAATGTTTTGATTGGTTAAACACTTTTGGTACTAGTGCATATATATAAGCTTGCTAATATGGATAATTTTTTCATTCCTGATGATGACATAATTAATGTCGAAATATTGAATCCCAACACGATGGCGTGTATTTCAATACTTGGAGTATGTATTATACTTTCTTATCTGAGATTAATCAGTGAACCTTTGGGTTTTAACTGTTCCCTGATTAACTAAAGCAACCACTCCATATAGACTGCATAATCTCCGCCCTGTGGCAGAATCCAACAATACGCAGGCTGTGTATAAAATGAGATAACAATAGGCTCCCATCGGGAGCGTGTGCCTACTGCCCAATTCTATAGAACTGATAATGTGGAAAATGATTATTGACTGGTTTAATATCATGAGAGAGAGTGGGGGTTTTGATATTATACTCTCATGTATAATTGCCTATTAATTGTATAAACTACAGTACACCATATTTCCTGTTAATATACATTGCAGTGACAGTGATATCCTTATCCTGTTACCAGGACAACTATTCCTGTTACTAACCTCACATACCTATAAGTTTACTTACACATGCCCTCCACCGGAATTAGAAAGGTCAACTGTTGCGTAACAACAACAACGTCTACTGCACCCTGTGGGGACACGAGTATTTTTGATTATGTCATGTTTTGATTTGGTGCGTTACTGTTTTCCCAGACTGTAGCCCTATTAAAAATATTTTCAATGACATTTTACTATGAAACTCTTTGGCCTACTTGATGCAATGGGAGAAGGAATGGATTAGTCGCATACGTACGGCATTCTTTTTGCCGTGAATCGATGAACACCAAAGAGAACTGGGGGGGGGGTGTCGGGAAAATTTTAATTACTAGATGGCGGGAAATGAGCTTTTCCGATATCTGTGGTGTCTTTTAAGACACTTCAGTCATTAAAAGTTTAGGTTTTCCCCTCTGAAAACGATTTAATGAATCGATGAACCCCAAAGAGAAAGGGTAGGCAGGATGTGGGGGTTGGGGGTCCCCCCCCCCCCCGTGAAAATGTTGATTCCTCATGGCCGGAAACGAGCTTCTGATTTGCCTTCAGTTCTTTGAAAATTCAAGCCTTTCCCCTTTTAAAAACGGTCAGGAAAATTGTTCTCATATTTATTGCAGCAAATAGGTGTCATGTATATACATATACTAAAGAAAATTTGAGTACAGTAGTTGCATATTTATTTCTTTTTTCCTTGAATTGATGAACCCAAAAAAGAATGGGGTCGTGGTCCAGGTCCTCTCCCGGGAAAATGTTGATTCCTAGATGGCGAGAAAGGAGCTTTCCCGACTTCTAATTTTCCCACTGTAACTAAAAATGTTCAGCTCAATGGGTCATGAAAAGGTAAGTCTAGATTTATTTATTTTGTTTTGATTTTTTTTTACCCGATCCACCAATGTTATATTAGAATTATATGGCAGTACATCAGTTCTCGATTTTATTTTTAATCTAATTAATTATTTAGGCCTACTTTAAACTAACACCGACGCTGGACTAAAAGTGAACTGTTGTTTGACCAAATTGGAAAGTTGCTTTTCAGCTCAGAAGGCAGTCAAGACGTTCCATACTTCCTTTCCTCAAATTATGTAGTTTCAACACATTGAAAAGAACCGATAGATAGTAAATCTCAGAGGTAAAAAAAGCACTACATTGTGGGCTCGTCCACTTAATGTCCCCAGACTATTCTAATAATGGACCTAGGCCTAGCTCCTTTTAACTATGAGCATAAGAGTCAAATACTTTGTGGATCCAGTGCATTCGAATGCTAGGCTAGGCCTAGCCTATTAATTATTGGTGTGCCGTACTGGCGTAGGAAGGACTGCCTGTGGTCAACTAGGCCTAGGCCTCGTAGCCTTGTAGTAGTAGACTAGCGAGGGCCTACCATCAAGCTTGGTTTGACTAGGCCTAGCCTTGGGCCTAGATCTTCAGTTACCTGGATATCTAGTAGTAGGCTAGGTAGGCCACGGCCTTGACTATATAAAATAGCCTTTTCCACGAATCGGTAGAGATGTTGAAGTGATATGACAAAACAAACAAGAGCCTAGGCCGATGTCCTACTAGAAAGGCCTGAAAAGTTTGTGTCACTTTGTGAAAACAGTATGCGCGGTACGCTCTCCCATTGTTAAGGCACAAACTTGCACAAATTGTATTTTAGCCTGTATTTAACCATGGAGGTATTATTGAGAAGGAGACCACTCGAAAAAGCTACGCGCACGCAGAGCTTATGCAAATAAACCAAAAACAACGCTGCCGCAGATCATGAAGAATAGTTGCGCGATGCCTTTGAAGTCTAATGTGTTCCCCGCCACCAAATGCTCAGCAGGCTTAGATACCAAAAAAGTGAACATTGAACATGGCAAAATGGAGAGTGTTCTTTTGTCAATGCGCACTACTTACAGTCAATCACTATGGCTGCGCAAACATTTCTATCTTGAAGCTAATACATTGATCTTTCAAGAAATACCAAACATGTTTTTACTAATATTTTGATGCATGTGTATAGATCTATTCCAAGTTATACTGCAAGAAGGGTACTGCTATGCCTAGGTAAGCTAGGGAAATCTGATCTTTACATCTAGCCCTAACCATGTGATCATAACTATTGCAATGCCGCATGCGCGTCTTCTAATAACCCACTGAAAGTTTGTGTTTGTTTGTAAAAACGAAAAATCCATTTTTCTTGGTTTGTGCGCTGCAGCTAATTAGCGTAGTTAGCTAATTAGTGTAGTTGCACTCTTAAAAATTAGATGAAAAGGTAAAGTTCGATGTACACAATCAAAATGTCAAAGAAAAAAAATCTTGAAAAAATATGGTTTTTAAAGTTTGTGTCTGTTTGTGGTGTCGGTGACGATACAATAAAATTGTTATAAATGTAAGTATCCTCACAAATGCAGCATTACATCGAATTGCTTCAAATTTACAAAAAAAGAAAAAAGAAGCTAAATTCAAAAAACCATTCTCAAAATTAACAATAGTTAACAATAATAATAATAACTTAAAAAAATATTTGAAAATTGATATAATTACTGTAATAAGAAATTTACAATCATTACAGTACATTAAATCATGTTACCTGGTATATTGAATTATCTAAAGAAAATCTCAAAAAACTAATAGGATTGTTAATGTAGTATTAAGATTATTATGGATATACAGTCAAGCAACTACATTATATTAGTGTAACAGATTTAAGACTAAAACGTTTAGGGCCATTCTGCAACAGAAAGCCTATCGCCTTCATAATTTAATCTTAAGGCAATTTTTTTATTATTATTATTAAAACTTTATTTTTACACGGAAAGCTTGTTTCACCCAGAGGGTGTTATTCTACAAGGCCGTGTTGTCATTGAAGTTGCAAAATAACAGTATAAAATAAAACTAACACATAATCACAAAAAAAAAAGATAAAATTACATACAAATACCAGATACAAAAAATGAAGCAAAGACCAAAAATTTTACAAAAG